CCAGTCCTGACCATGTCCTGATAGATGACAATGACTGGGGAACACAGCTCAACTTGCAGCAGCTGTAGGAAAAACAGCTCAGTAAGCAGTGGTTTAGCAGCAGCTGTAGGTATGGAATGCACTAAATGGAAAGCAAATAAGGAACAGGTTATTTCCTCTGCTCCAGGAACTCTTAGAGCGAATTCAGAGAAGGGCCATGAAGATGATCAGCGGGCTGGAGCACCTGTCCTATGAAGACAGGCTGAGAGAGCTGTGGTGCTTCAGTCTGGAGAAGAGAAGGCTCCAGGGAGACGTTATAGTGGCCTTCTGGTACCTGAAGGGGCTACAGAAAAAGTTGGAAGGGACTTTTTACAAGGGCATGTAGACCTAGGACAAGGGGGGATGTTTTCAGACTGAAAGAGGGTAGATTTAGATTAGTTATTAGGAAGAAATTCTTTACTATGAGGGTGGTGGGACACTGGCACAAGTTGTGCAATGAACTTGTGGATGCCCCACCCCTGGAAGTGTTCAAGGCCAGGCTGGACAGGGCTTTGACCTCTCTACAGGGAGGTTTCCCTGCTCATGCAAAGGGGTTGGAACTAGATGATCCTTCAGATTTCTTCCAACCCAAACCATTCTACGATTCTAAGATAAGGTAGGAATCGCTTTAGCTTTGACTCCATCAATGGGTGGAAGAGATAGCCTTAATTCCTTTCTACCCCTTCCCCCTCCCCCCGGCACAGGCACGAAGAACTACACAGGCGTGCACTGCGAGGACAGCGAGGGAGAAGCCAAGGCGGGAATGGAGGCGCCAGTTCCCGCGTCCAGCTCCCGCCGCTTCAGCACCAGGGGCAGCGGACAGCGCCCGCGGGTCCCAGCCCCCGGTCACCGGTCCCTCCGCCCGGGAACAGCGGGAGCGACCCGGGGCCCTCCGGGGTTACAGCAGCAGCAGCAGCATCGCCAGCAGCGCAACCAGGTCACGTTAGAAACAGAGCTGTAGGTGGTTTGTTGTTTGGGGTTGTTTGGTTGTTGGTTTGTTGGGTTTTTTTTTCACACACAACCGAAAAAATGAATAAATTCCAGAACGTCGCACCTCATAAATAATAAGTTTCAAAAGCAAGAGTGCCAGGCAGCATTAGCAAGTGTGAGTAAAAGTGGCTCAACAAAATTTCTAACAGCTGTTTCCTTGGAATAGAGAGTTCTCAGACCCAGGCTGCTTGGTTTGTGCTTCCTGAGCAAACAGAAGAGTAAAACCCACAGCTCAGAGATGAAGTGGGTACCAGTGGCACGTTTCACTTGCTTCTTGGCTCACTCACTCAATACTGGTTGCTAAGCAATTCATTAATTTTTTTAAGCTCAAAACTACTCACTGCCAGATGGATTAATGGAAATACACACTTGTACTACTTACAACATTTTTCAGTTGTATTTCTTGATACACCAGTACCATTCCTTTTAAAGTAATTCCATCCTCGGGTTTGAAAGTAAAGACATAAATTAAAGAGAGCAGGGGGGAGGGGAGGAACAGAAAGAAGGGAAGTGTAATTACTAAATTTTTCAGTGGATTGCAGGAAAGAGGTACCTAGGGACTTCCCCATCCTCTGGGAGTTGTAGCAAAGACAGCATGCCTAGCTCAGCATGAAGATGTGAGGCACCAGGTGACCTGAAGGTGCCTTGCCCTTAACTGGTTTATCTATTTATAACTACATGACACAACATTACCTGTGACAGCACAAATCAACACAGGGTTGTTTCAGCAGTGAAATAACCATCCACAGTCTCTTTTTATTTACACCTTACACACAGTGATGCCCTTCCCAGTTTCACTCCCAGTTCTTTAGAGCCAAAACCTGGTGTCTGGCACTCTCTGCCAGCCTCTGCCCTGAACCGCCACCCAACTTACCAATGCTTTGTCAATTTTTACAAAGTCAAGATCAGAATGAAATAACTACACCCCACACACACAGTGTAACCCACCGTTCTGTCAATGATAAACCCAAACTGTGTGTTAGCCATTACCAAGGTGTAATTACAGCAGGGATAACGGGATGGGCATCTGTTCCATCCCCAAATGAAGGAGAAAACGCATCTCTGCCATTGCCAACTTTTTGCCAGCTGAAAGAAGGGAAGAGGGATGGGAGAGATGGCAGTGTGGCAAGCAGGAACTCTGAGGCAGCTCTTCTCCCTTTACAGCTGCCAGTGAGGTGACAGGCTCAGCATCAAAGACTTACACAGCTGGGTCATTTGGTGCACTACTGCTGCTGGGACATGAGGAAGCCTGCAGTAGAGCTTCCTGGCTATAGATTCTCCCTCACACCCCCTTCCTACAGACAGAGGAAGTCTGATTTGGTGTGGAGAAACAACAGAAAGAACTTTCTTTTCCTTTGTTTTTGAGAGCAAGTAACCTCTGGTGCAGTTTACTGTTGACAGAGACCATAGGGAAATAAATGGTCAGGGAAGGAGGGGAAACCACAGACCTAGTAGGAAAGAAACAAGACAGTCACTATGTGCAGGATGAACTGAAGGGGACAGCCAACATCTCAAAGGAGCCATGAGGAAGAAGGGGCAGGGAGGAAGCAGCAGCAGTAGAGAAGGGGGAAGGAAAGGTCAGGCAGGGACTCGTCCCAATAACTGGTGGAAGGAGGGGAACGTAGGGAGCTGGAGGTGTGTTGGTAGAAAGCATCATGCTGTACACCCATCCAGAGTCCTGGAAAGCAACGCTGAGGCTACGGGGGACCTCACGAGACTTGACAAAAAGTGGACAAGGCAGGTGCACGTTTCCTTTTGAGGCACGAACCCACCAGGGGAAGGAGGCAAAGGGATAGAAGAAGGGAAGAAACTTGCAGAACACCAAGGGCAGCATCTCCAGGGAGGGATGCCAGGAGAGCCTGGCGAGGAAGGAGGGACAGACCAGAAGTCCTGCATGGCAGCGGCACCACGCTCTGCAGGGCGACAGGGCGCCGAGTTGAGCACGGGGGAGGCTTTGAGGAGCCGAACAGAGAGGGGAAGCCGGTACCCACAGGGCGGGCGGCAACCCCTGAAGTGCTGGGACATGGTGATGAGGTTTCCCCTGAGCCTTCTCTGCTCCAACCTGAACCAACCCAGTTCTCCCAGCCTTCCTCACATGGCCGGCTTCCAATTCCCCTGGATCATCTTTATGGCCATTCTCTGGACCCTCTCCAGCCTGCCCACACCACTAATATGTTCCAAATGGTTGGGCTGGGTCCTTTTTTCCTGCATCCCTCCACAAAGGCACTGCTGTTTCCTAAAGACGTGTTTCATCCTGGTGTTGCTCCTTCCATTGTTTCACCAGAGAACTCTTCTCTTCTGCTCAACGCTGCTTCACCCCAAACCTGTTACACCTGCTCTGTAGTTTTCCAGCATTAAGTGCCAAAAAAATAAAAGCACCAATGGCACAAGTGCTGTGGACTAGTCCTTTCTGAGCTGTAGTTTGTCAGTGCATGGGGGGAGGTTGTGCCAGAGACTCCCCTCAGGACTGAAGGCTCCTTGTGTCTGGGGCTCTGCAGAGTTGTGAGCAACCTGAGCCTTGAGGAGCTGCTGGAAGCTCATCTCCAGACACAGAGCAGATGTAGTTGATCAGAAGAGCTGAACTTCACAGCAAGGTACCATCTGTAAGGCCAAACGAGGTAGGAACACTCATTCCAGCCCCATCAGTCATTAGGAGGGCGGGAAGTTGCACCAGGAGCCCAGAACAAAGTTCCTCACGTTGTCTTTACAAAACAGGAGCTTGATCTTTGTAGAAGAAATGTGATCACAGCTTATCAAGTTTTGGGTTGGTTTGGTTTTTTTCTGAGACACTTTGAACAAAATAATTGAGCAGGAAAACCTCTCAGGCCTTCGTTTCTCAACATCTGAACATTGTAATGTAAATTATCTTATGCCTGGACAACCCGTGGCTGCGTCGAGACTCGGCGGGAGGTCTAAGGGCTCATCCCTTCGACTCCTTCCTCGGGCAAACCCGTTCAGTAAACCAGAAGGGTGCACCAGGCTTTAAGATGCTGAGGGCACTGAGTTACCCCCAGGCTCAAAGAACCCTCACTGACAGCTTGGGACTTGTATTGCTAAGTCCCTTCAGCAGGTCTTTGAGCAAAATGCAACCGTGGGGAAAAAACACCGGTGACATCAGGGATTCTGTTTTGCTGCTTCTCCCGTATCCTGTCTGCTCTTACCATGTTACTTCTCACCGTGTGGCTGCAGGCTGCCTGCTGTGTTGGGGCACCACTTTCAGTTGGCACGTCTAGATGTTAGTGCATTACACATTACTTACTTATTTTAAATCTGGGTAGCACAAAAGTGCTGCATAAAGTGATTTTTCTGCCGCTAAATTGTGTGCCCAGTGAGTGTCGTAGCTCATCCTGCTCAGTTCTGAATTTTTACAGAAAACCCAGCCTGCTTAAAGTCATAAAGTCGTCAGTATTTCCAAAATGTTTTGTTTTGGTCAACCTCACTAAGAAAAAGGACCAGGGAATGCTAGGGCTCAATAGCTCTGTAGGCAGAGGAAGTAACATCAGCAGGTCTGAACTTTGGGAGACAGCTCTCTCACTCATTCCTGCAGAATTAAGTTTTCTGTTACACTCCTGCCAATTAAGCCTGTAGAGGTTTTGGGGTGTGCTGGATGTTTTTCCATGCTTGTAATATTTGGTTTAGCTGAGATCTGGTCCTAACTCCCAATTCTTCTATAGGTGTTCACAAAAATCTCCATGTTTCTGGGTGGCTGGAATGGATAAGATTTGAATCTTGTTTGCAGCCCCCTTGTCTTTTGCTGTGATCTGGCTGGCTCACCTGAGCTAAAATGGGAAAACTTTTAGTTAGTACTTGCAGGAGAATTTTGAAAAGGATCCTTGTACATACACGTGCAGGTGCTTGTAGTTTAACAGCCATGTCATCTTTGGATGTCTGGTGAACCACCATACATTGGTGAACAAGGAAGTATCACCTGGTCCATCTGCATCTCAGAAAGTCTGTAATGATAAGCTGGTTTGGGGAAGGGGTGGTCTTACCATTATCAAGGTTGAAGCAGATCCTAGCTTCTTCCAAGTAAGGGGTGTCACTTTTAGAGCGGAGTCTTCTGATGGGCCTGCGGTCTATGTCGTCCTCAGAAGAAGCTGTCATCAGTGTGGGCACCGTGAGAAGAGTTGCCCGACGAGCTGGTAAGAAACAATTAATGAAGAGGAGAAATGAAAAGAATGGAAGGAGAAATGGAAAGGGGGGAGAAAAAGAGGGAGAAGGGAAAAAAAAAAAAAAAAAAGAGAGAGAGAGAGAAAGAAAATCACTGAATGGAAAAGAAGATCCATAGCAGGTAGTAGAAGAGGATGCAAGGTCCCTGCCTCAACGCCCATAGAATTTCAGAGGTGCTCGGAACAATGCCAAGAAAAGATTGCTGTGCTCCAAAGACATAGGTTATAGCTCTGTTCCCGACACAGATTGCTTGGTCAAAGTTCTTAGTTTTGCCACTTAAGCCTGGCTTTTCACAACTTCTCAATAGCTGCAGTTTCTCTTTTTCTGAATAGTGGTTTTGAGTCTGTGATGCCTGAGTAATGGAAGTATTTAAGTGTTTTCTTAGTTTGCAGACATTAGTGGAAGCTGTGCTTGAGACACATGGTGTGGAGAGTACAGCAAGCATTCCAGATCTCAGTTTCTTGTTGTCTTATTGGGCATTCAAAATTAACAGCTACTTTTTGCTCTAGGTCACTTCATGCCCTAGTTTCTTAGTTGTGAAGCAGTGAGAATAATAATTTTCTTTCAGTAGGAATTTTGTGAAAACATAAATTTGTTAATATTTGTAAAGTATTCATATACTTCAGTGAAGCACCAATGAAAAGCCCATAAGGAAATTAAGATTTGTATCTTCTGAACAGAGTTTAAATGGCTTGGGGCCATCCCTTCAAGGAGGAGAAAGCAAAATATTTATTACTGTCTCATTAAGTGAGCACTGCCCACTCCATGCACTGATGAAGCAAATGGTAGGATAGTAAAAAATTACTGTGTCATCATGCAATTAGAAACCATACTATTATACATGTATATGAGGAGACTCCAATAATGTCACAGAGGCAACCTTTATTCTGGCATTGTCTAAGTATTTAGTGCTTGACCTTAGAGTTTTGATAATGTCCCTTTAATGTAAGTATTTTTTCAGTGAATTGTAATCATGAGTGGCTTTTGAATGCTGTGGGTGCTGAGCCTATAAGTTACAAATCACAAACAGGAGAGCCTCTATAAATATACCCACTTCAGTTTGCTCTCTGAGTAAAGTTTATCACAACTGCTAGATGTGATTTGGCTGATCACACTGAAAGTGTGAGCACCACGCACAAGCACTTTCTCAGTGTGTTTCTTTCCCCACCACCTCAGATAGAGCTAGAAAGAGAATTTCAGCTTGCAAGCTCATCCTTACCCTTTGTGTGGGACTACTAGCATTAACTTTGACATGGGACCCCGTAAGAACCTAGGAGCCTAAACCCTGGATGTTTCTTCCTGCTTGCTGTTGCCTGGCCTAACAGTCTTTATCTTAGGGCTTTTGTAAGCTGCTCTACTTATAATAACTAATAAAGAACCATACTTTCCTGCTGGGACTGGAGAACATGACTGATAATGACTAAGAACTTATTCTGCAGCCTGCTAACTGTCATTCTTCTAAAAGTTTTTTACAGTTCCAAATAATACCTGTCATTCAGAAGCCTTCAGATGCCTAAAACCTGACTTAGGTGTTAGGTATGATAGCATATAATTAGTATGAATTAACAAAAGCTGTCACGCTCTATTTTTCAATTTGTAGCATTATGTAGTTTACTAAACAAGCAAATCTGCGCTGCAGAGGGCAGTGGTTATTTCTGTTCTAACTTACTTGTTTTCTGGTTTTAAATGGATTCCTTTCAAGTTTTTACTCATTTCTTACCAAGCCAAATCTTGAAATTGAAGTGAAAGCAAAGGGCAGGAGTTGAAATTGATTTTATGGGGTCAACTATTTAGATTAAGCTAAAGTAAACACTGCAACCAGACTGTAAACTATTACTCCCATGTCATAGGGATGTACAGTAATGAAGATAAAAGAGAATGGAAAATTTCTGCTGAGGAGAATTTTGTGTACTGCATCATCAAATTTACACTTAAGGAAGATTTATCTGTATATGAATTTAGCATTGTAAAAACCATCTCATAAAACAACCATGTAGAAGATTTGTCTTTTAAAGCTGGCATGATCTATCTGTAGTCAGTGAAAGGATACCCATGCACTTCAGGGTGGTATGGATCATGGCACAGGAACCTATTTGGGAAAAAAACCACCACCAATTCCAGGCCAGGTTGGATGGGGCTTTGAGCAACCTCGTCTAGTGAGAGGTGTCCCTGTCCATGGCAGGGGGGTTGGAACTAGATGATCTTTAAAGTCCTTTCCAACCCAAAGTGGGCTTTTCTAGATATTTGTTTATAAATAATTTTTACCTTTTGGGTCAAAATATCTGGCTTGTGTTCATTTTGACTAGAGGTAGGAGGATGCTGGAAAATGTTTCCTGGAGTAATCATTATATGTTACTTTGACAACCATGATTATCTTTCCTTTGTGTTTGTTACCAAAATGAGTTTTCAAGAATGACTAGAAATTTTAAGTAAATGTTAGAAAAATATCAGAGGCAGCTAATAAGTATTAAAACATTTTGCAATAAAAAGATCAAATCTTACATAGCCACAGAACTGGAAAGTATAGCTGATGGCATTCAGATATTCACAGAGTAGCTATCAGGTTATTTAATGCTGAATATGCATGCCATGAATATACCTGTATATACTCTTTTCCTAACCGTAATCCATAGTACTTCTGATTAAGAGAATGACTTGCTATATGTGGTTGGAACTAGATGATCTTCAAGGTCCCTTCCAACCCAAACCATTCTATGATTCTGTGAACATTTGCCCAATTGGTTCCATCACAAATAATCACAGAATCACAAAATTGTCATGGTTGGAAAGAACCTCTGAGATCATGGAGTCCAACCATCAACACAAAAACCCCAAACAACCACACGCACCCCACCAGAGAACACCCACAAAACAACACCCAACACCCAACAAACACCCTACAACCTCAGCCACTAGAGTGTACCCTGAAGTGGCACATCTACATGTTTCTTGAATACTTCCAAGGATGGTGATTCCACCACCTCTCTGGACAGGCTGTTCCAGTGCCTGACCACTCTTTCAATATAGAAATTCTTCCTAATGTCTAATCTGAACCTTCCCTGCTGCAACTTCAGGACATTTCCTCTGGTACTGTCGTTAGTTACCTGGGAGGAGAGGCCAACACCCACCTCCTTAGAACGTCCTTTCAGGGAGCTGTAGAGGGCAATGAGGTCTCTCCTTAGCCTTTTCTTCTCCAAACTAAACAATCTCAGTTCCCTCATCTGCTCCTTCTACGACTTGTTCTCTAGACCCTTCACCAGCTTGGCAGCTCTCCCCTGGAGATCTCTCCTGGATTTTAAACAACCGCTTTAGCAGCACAAGGGAATCAAATCAGTAATTTTGTTTGAATTCCTTCAGTCTATTTGCATTGCTCATCATAAAGGTTATGCCACTACTGGCACCTTGCAGCAACATCTCGTCTTGGTATTTGTTAGAAAGGGAAAAGGTTGCTTATGGAGGAAAAATACTTTAGAAACAGAAATGCTGTAATGCAGGTAATGACACCCTAGAACTGATTATGTGTAGTCTCACATTTGTTGCCTCAAAATATTGTACGTGACTGAAGTACAACACAAGTACACACTTGCGAGAAAGGAATGGGAAATATTTAAATTATTATATTCCATGTTCAGAGGCAGTTTGAACACATACTTGCAATATATTTAGTTACATCTACAGGTGGTCTGTTGTTTGAATGCTTTTTGAAGTTACTGAAAATGTGGGGGATGGTTTGCAAAGAATTTTTGATGGCTCCCATTTTGTCCCATTAAAATACATTTTAATAAAAAATACTAGTACTGATATTTGATTGCCAATAACTATCTTTATGTTTTGAAGAGTTATAATATTTCTTTTTTTTTTAAGACTTGTGTTTTTTAGAAGAAGATTTGGACATTTTTAATTGTAAAACCCAGAGGTAAAAAGCCAAAATTCTAAAAATTAGTAAAAGAAAGTTTGAACTATCCCTCTGGATTCTTCCACCTGCCTTTATCAATCAACTTTTTAAAATGTTTTTAAAACACCTCATTGATGACACCAATACCCAGGTCATTTTTGCCTCAGTAGAGTCATCATCTAGAAACTATAATTTGCATAGCAGATTCTTGTCTTGAAATGACAAAAACTTTCGAGACTTGATTATTTTAACCTTAATACAAGCAAAGTGCTAAAGTGTTTCTGCTGGAGTTGTCTAGACCTGGATGCATAGGAAGGGGTATGTTTCTGATGTGTATAATCACAATCAATCTCAGGTGATGTGATAATAGCCATAAAAGAATACTGGTTTACATCAGAAATCTTTAAGATGGTTTTGAGAATAACCTGAGATCTAAGCACAAATTTTGATCAACTTTGTAGAATACCTATGGAAAGATTTTAATGGCAGTGCTGCTCTTGCTATTGACTAGGATTCTTGCTTGCTACTTTTATTTCTTTTCATTAGAGAAGTGTATGAGCTTCTTAGTCAGTTCTCCTCTTTCGTGCTTCTATGGAAAGGGCTCACCATGGCATAACATGTAGATAAAGCCTGCAGGAATGTGGTTTTGGCTAAAAGTAAGCTTTAAAAACATTACTTCAGGTACACTTTGATGCATCTAGAGCGTGATACTCTGTCTGTTCTTAAAAAAACCCCATTATTAGATTGTGAATATTCTTCTTTAAATGCAGACCAAACAATGGGTCCAAATGGATGTTTACGAGGAAAACAATCTTTTTGTCTGATTAAATGCCAGTTAGTTTTTCTCTTGTTTTAAATGCAACAACATTTGAAGGATTAGGTGTGGGAAATAGAGTATGACTGGCAGGAGAAGAGAGTAGGAGATGTGTGCAAGCACTGGAGAGGACATAATTTGTCATTTGCGAAGAATGATTTATAAGCTTATGTCTCCTGGATAAACAGAGAAGTACATGCATATGGTTTGCTGCATGACTCTAAA